TTTTTAATGGAAAATAACAATTAGTGACTTAAAATTTGCAAACTAAATGCTAATAATGTGGATATTTGGCCAGTTTTCTTTGGAGTTAATTTTTTTGCCCTAATAATGAAAATATGGAAAAAAGCAAATATAAATTAAGCATTTTTTTAAACTGACACATTGTAATTGTACATACTTATGGGGTGCAGTGTGCTGTTTTGATACATGTATATGTTATATAAAGATTGGGTCAGTGTAGTTAATGTATCCATCACCTCATGCCTTTGTTGTTTCTTTGCAGCAAAAACATTTAAAAGCTTCCCCTCTACTTATTATGTTATATACAAAATTTAACTGTTAACTATAGTCACCCTACTGTGCAGTAAAACATCAGAACTTATTCCTCCTGTCTAACTATAGTTTTGTATCCTTCTCTCATCCCCTCTCCAGTTTAAGCACTTTTGCATGTGCCAAGTTTTGTGTTGTGTTGAGGTACAATAAGCATAACAATTGTTAGACATATTTTAATTTTTTTAAAATTATTTACTAGAATATCCAGACTTTGTAATTTTGGTTTGTAATCAGTTATGTCTCTTACAATATTTGACTCAATCCATTTTTGGCATTTTTTTTTTATTTCTAGAACATGAAAACCTAAGAAATGCCAGAACAATGTTCCATTCTACCAACCATCTTATTTCCCAATGACAATACCTCAAACATTTAAGAAATGTATTTATTTTTTCATATCCCACTTTATTTCAAAAGGGATTTAAGAAGCCAAAAGTTCAGATTTTATCCTTAACATCTTTATAGAATATTAAGAGAAGGAAGTATGTTACATGCAAGCACATCATTTTTGTGTACTTGAGTACCACTATTGTTTATATTAAATACTTCAGTGTAGTCATTTTTAGAATATTTTATAATTTTATTTTCATGTATAAAAATATCTGTAGTTTTCTTGCCTCAATAGACTTATGACTAAGTACTCTTTTCTTTCATCCACAGGAACAAAATGACACAAATCCCATAATTTTCCATGACACAGGATATATACAAATATTACTTTTATCAAAAAATAGGCTTTATTCTTATCCTTTGGAAAATGAAAACATTTACTCATGTAAAAGAAAAAATTCTGTTTTAGAAAAAAATTGTGAAATTCTCAAATCTTTAATTAGTGATCGATCTATTATTACTCCTTCCAAACCCAAAAAAGCTATGTCTACAGCATGGAGAAAAGATATGCGAGCCATATGTTTCAAAGTGGGCCACAGAATTGTACAGGAGAAACTAACGAAGAAAACTCATAAGCAGACATTAGAAAACACACCTTGGAATACACTCTATGATTTCTCACAGACTTTCTCCAGCCTAACAAAAAAATGTGTGGGTTACCTTGATAAAACTGTTCTTCAAGAAATGAATGCTAAAACTGGCAAATTTCAAAGAATGTTTTCTACAGTAAAACCAATGAACACACACAAATTCAGTTCTTCACCCATCAAATATGATTCAAAGACTTTTAAAAGTATATATAAATTAAATAACGTAACACCATTGGATGATTTGTTAAAAAATGCCTCATAAAATGTCATTTATACAGCTTTATTTGGGTAACAGGAAGCAAATAACCAAGTTCCAAGATCATAGAAGAAATTCTTATCTGCATAGCAATGTTCTAATGAATGTTATAAGAAAGCAAGGCATAGAAACTGGAGTTACAAATCAACAGTGGTGTGCTGAAGAACAGTCAACATTTTTAGTAAATAATAGAACAAAATTAGAAAGCAACTATTAACAAAGGAACTAGTTCATGATTTTTTAATTATATCAATTAGACTGCTTAATCATCAGTATTTCTACAGTAAAGTCTGATTTGGGACCAAGAAATTTGCCATAGATTGACTCCAGAAATTTGCTGTTGGAAGCTAAATAACATCAATAACCTTTTTCTATAATTGAATATTCAATAAGACAAACATGCCATTAATTTAATAAATGTGGAGTTAATCATATATCAGTGTTTTGGATAATCATGGGAAAACAGTATTACATTAGCAATTTACGCAATTAAAAAGTCTTTGTAAAATTTCAAATACCTTTTTTTTGTTAGTAGATGTTGGAACTTCATTACTATACA